TGGCTCAGGGTCGTGTCGGGTTAGCCTCTGGGAAATGCATGTCATGCAAACACCATTCATTGTGTGTGGAGAAGGGCAAGCCGAGAGAGAAAATGGGTTAGTTTCTGAAGTATGATATGGTGAGTGGAATTCAATTGGCCTAACAATGATAGGCCGGAGGGAGAAAGGGCTCTTGGTAATGCAGAAACCCAGCTAAAGACAATAGAGGAGACATGATAGAGGTGTGTAAAATTGTGCGTGGCATGGGGAAAGTGGACAGAGGAGAGCTTTTTCTCCTCTCATACTACTAGAACTTGTGGACATCCAATGATGCTGAATGTTGGGAAATTCAGGACAGACAAAATAATGTACTTCTTCACATGGCACGCATTGTTGAAGTGATGGTCAACAACTTGGATGACTTGAAAAGAGGATTAGGCGAAATGAGTTTGACCAAACTGCGGGAGGCAGTGGAAGACAGGAGTGCTCTGGTCGTGCTCTGGTCCATGGGGTCACAAAGAGTCAGACAAGACTAAACAACTAAACAACAGGGCTATCAGGGGCTATGAGCCACAATGGTTATGTTCTGTTGGAGGCAGCGTGCCTCTGAATGCCAGTTTCTAGGAATCACCTCTGTCACAAGGTGTTTAACTCTAGATCACATGGGGAGTATTCAGTTGCAAATCTCCATTTTGTTCTCTCTCTGAAAGCTGCTGAAGAGAAAGGATGCTGCTAACGATTCTCTCCAGGAAAACAGCCTCAGGCTGGAATGCAGGCTGTTTGGAGAGATAGATTGGAGTTCTGGATAAAGTTATTTCATATTTCATATTTTTAAGATGCTGAACCTGTGCCTGGACATGATATTGTGATATCAAGAAACATGATATCATAATCATAATATTATAATAATTTATTATTTATACCTCACCCATCTGGCTGGATTTCTCCAGCCACTCTGGGCAGCTTCCAACAGAATATTAAAATACTATGATTCATCCAGTATTAAAAGCTTCCCTAAACAGGGCTGCCTTCAGATGTCTTCTAAAAGTCTGATAGTTGTTTATTTCTTTGACATCTGATGGGAGGGTGTTCCACAGGGCAGGTGCCACTACCGAGAAGGCCCTAGAATCATAGAATCATAGAATCATAGAATCATAGAGTTGGAAGAGACCACAAGGGCCATCGAGTCCAACCCCCTGCCAAGCAGGAAACACCATCAGAGCACTCCTGACATATGGTTGTCAAGCCTCTGCTTAAAGACCTCCAAAGAAGGAGACTCCACCACACCCTCTGCAACTATTGTGATGTAACATTACTGCTTTGAGTGTCTATTTTGGAACATGTTCTGTTAAGTAAAGCTTTTGAACCGTATTTTTGGACTAGACAGTTTTTATTTCCAGAAGAGTCAGTTTTTATATATTCTATCACTTCCAAAAGTGCAATATTAATAACCACAACAGGGAGACCCCTATTCTGTTCCTAGAGCTACAGTTCCAGAGTGGTTTAACAATCAAACCCTCTTCCCAGGGAGCTGCAGGAGCACATGCTGCCTGCCCTGTGTGTCTCCTAAATAAGGCTGCTAACCTCAGATGCACTGAAATAGGCCATTATGTCACCGGTGCTGAAATATGATTCAGCTGACAGTCTGGTCAGGTTCTGAACATTGGATGGGCTGGCCTTGGAGCTCTGAACTAGACAAATCCTCTTCTCATACACATCTCTCATGCCTTCGTAGGAATAACATGAAACAGACCTCTGCTGCTTAATTCTTTGCATTTTTCTTCTTTAATTTCATTCGCAACATCACAGAAACAGAGGGCGGTTCTTCAACATGGTAGTTCCCACACTGGCTCATCTTTCCTGCAATAGATTTTCAAAATGCAGTGGTACCTCAGTTTACGAACCTAATCCGTCCCGGAAATCCGTTCTTAAATTGAACTGTTCTTAAACCGAGGCGCACTTTCCCTAATGAGGCCTTCTGCCATCAGTGCCCTTCCACTGTTCAGCTTGCATTCTTAGACCGAGGTAAAGTTTGCAAATCAGGACACTACTTCCGGTTTTGCGGAGTTCTTAAACCAAATACAGTGGTACCTCGGGTTACATACGCTTCAGGTTACATATGCTTCAGGTTACAGACTCCACTAACCCAGAAATAGTACCTTGGGTTAAGAACTTTGCTTCAGGTTGAGAACAGAAATCGTGCTCTGGTGGCACAGCAGCAGTGGGAGGCCCCATTAGCTAAAGTGGTGCTTCAGGTTAGGAACAGTTTCAGGTTAAGAACGGACCTCCAGAACAAATTAAGTGCTTAACCTGGGGTTAAATACAGGGCTGTTCTTAAACCGAGGTGCCACTGTATGGGAGAGACTTCTATCTTATTATGCAGGGATGAGGAAGCTGGTACCATTTAGATACAGTGTGATGCAGAAGCCTCTTTAAAAGAAATAGGGAGCTTGAGATGGAAACTTAAGTGACTGAAGGTTGCAGTCCCAAGGACACTTTCCGGCATGTAAGTCCCCTTCAACAGAATGAGGCTTTCCTCAAACACAGATTTGGACTTGCCTGTGGGGGGTCAGGCATTGCTGGATTTTTATGTGGGAATAAGGAGCTCTGTTAATAGCCAGGTGGAAGCACAGTTATGCTCCAGCACCAAATTATGTTGATCAGTTTAAAAGTATATAAAATGTTCAACTTTTTATATAGGGAACCTTGGGGCTGAATACAGCCCTCCAGGCATGTGAGTGGCGCAAACACACCGCTTGCCATGCGCAAGTGAGGTGAGCACATCGAGTGATGTGCATGCTTGGCCACCATGGAATTTTGAGGGGACCCAGCCCCTGCCTTGAAAATGGGGGGGCTCACCCCCCAGATGGCACCCCTGCTAGGTGGGCCTATGATAGGAGTTGGGTGCAAAGGATTTGGAGGGCACCATGTTGGGACGTGGTTGGCACTGTGGGTTAAACCACAGAGCCCAATCAGAAGTTCGGCAGTTCGAATCCCCGCAACAGGGTGAGCTCCCATTGCTCGGTCCCTGCTCCTGCCAACCTAGCAGTTCGAAAGCACGTCAAAGTGCAAGTAGATAAATAGGTATCACTCCAGCGGAAAGGTAAACGGCGTTTCCGTGCGCTGCTCTGGTTCGCCAGAAGCGGCTTAGTCATGCTGGCCACATGACCCGGAAGCTGTACGCCGGCTCCCTTGGCCAATAAAGTGCGATGAATGCCGCAACCTCAGAGTCGTCCGCAACTGGACCTAATGGTCAGTGGTCCCTTTACCCTTTACCTTTTACCTATGTTGGGAAAGGCTGCCTTAGAGTGCCCTCACTGTGGATGCAAGTCCAGACCACCTTCCACAAGTGATGCAGCCCAGGAAAGAGCAACAGAAGGCATCTGGGATCTGCAGAATGTTATGTCGGAACTGGCCCAAAGTGGATGGGTTGGTCAGGAACCAAAGGGATCTTTTTTAAAAGAACAACAACAACAAGCTGAAAATTAGCTACAATTGCTGTTGTGTCTCTGCAATTTGTATTACAGAACTGCTGCGGCTGCTGGTGGCTTTTGCTGTCCAACTCTCCTCTCTCTGTTTTCTCTCGGGGAGGAAAAGGGCCTGCAAGAGTTCCATTAGTCTAAAAGAGAAACATATGCTTGGACTACAGATCTGTTTATTGGCAAAATTCAGCCACAAGCAAGCAGAAGCCAACCAAAGCCTCCCTTGTCCAGTGGCCGTACAAAAACCAATGTGCAAGTTTTTTTCCAGTAGTTTCTCTCCCCACCCCACTTTTTTTTGTAAAAGTGTTTCAATCTACGCTGTCAAAAATGTCTTTCCTTTCATGTCAGCAAACTTCTAATTAGAGATATTATGCATAAAGCCAGCTATCTTCACCAGGTACTTTTGGGAGGAGAAGGGCTGTCACTCAGTGGTCAAGCACATCCCTGGAAAGCAGAAGATCCCAAGCTCAATCTCTTGTTACAGATTTCTTTTGGGGGGTATACCCTAGAAATTAATAAATGGTAGGATTTTGATTATTTGGGGTGTGAAGGGAGACATACAAGCTGCAGAGGAATTCCTGGGTTAGCCTATGCAAAATGACCTAGCCAAGCGAGGGCCATTAAGAAGCAATACAAGGCCATTGAGGTGACAGGAGAGTTTTTAGCAGGGTGTTCTGGGAAGAAGAAGGGAGAAAAAAGAGTGGGATACATCTTGGGCAGGCTGGCTGAAGGCTGGCTGGGAGGGATGCCTTGGACTCCAGGGTTGCATTACTGCGGGGGACAAGCCCCTATTGAAATGACCATGCTGTAAAATATGGACTCCCTCCATGCAGACTGAAGGTTTAAATAGGTGAACAAACCCTATTTCTTAAAGCTACGATAGTCTCATTTCTCCAAAGGAACACAGACCCTGGGTGAGTGCCTGGAACCCCTGGGATCTTGCTATTGCTCAGCAGAGAGTGGGGGTGGCACCCAACTTTTGTAACAGTATGGGGGTTTTTTGTTTGTTTGTTTTTATTTCCAAAACCGGAAAAAGACAAATTACAAACATCAAATTCAAAATCCATATTCGTTTTTTAACATAAGCCTAGTACATAGTTAACTAAATTTAAATATACCTAATTGCTCTAGACTTCTCTTTGCTGTATATAAATACAACGCAATTAGAAATTTTATATTATAAATAATATTATAAATTTCCCTATACCCCCCACTCCCCTTCACCCATGTGTGATCTCAGGTTGTTTTTTACTTCTTACGTCTTGTTGTGTTGTTATAATTTAATAATTGTTCAATTGATTCTTTTATTATTTCCTTAACTTTTGTAATAGTATGTTGGGTCACATTTCTGGGAAACAGGGCCTGTTAAAAACACTTTGGAAAAGTTTGATCACCCCAACATTCCATTTACAGAAAACGGCACCAGAAGCTGGCATCTACTGTCTCCAGACCAATCGAGTCCATGTAGCTCAATATTATCCACACTGACTGGCAGTTCCTCTCCAGGATTTCAGACAGAGAGTCTCTCCTAGTGCTACTTGGAGAGGCCAGGGATTGAACCTGGGACTTCCTGCAAGCAGAGCTGATACCCTATCCCTGAGCTATGGCCTCCCCACTACTTCAGGACTTGTCATAGGACAGTGTCCCACACACAGATTCCTGGATAAGCTTGCCAAACATATTCTTTATTTAGCTTTAAGAGGGTGGTAAGAATCTGGCTTTCTAGACAGGACATTTCAGAGAACATTGGAAATTCAAAGGAAGCGGCAGGAGTTTTGCTATGCCTGGCAAAACTGACCAGTGAGGGTTCTGCATGTTCCTTGGTGGTGGCTTTGTGAGCTGGGCATTTCTGCATTTTAATTTACATTTCCCAGAACCCTCTGAAGGCAGGGATTAAGTGAGGCAAGACACAAAGATGGGCTCTAACCCAGCCTCTTCAAAATGAAGACTGAAGCAGAAGGTCCAGGATGGATCCGTTCAAACTGAAGATTCATTTTTGGCTCAAAGGCAGGCGAACTGTCAACATTCATAGAACATGAAGCACACCACCAGTTGCACAGGTGACATTCGCCATGTGAACTAGGAACTTGTCAGCATCACGAGGTCATGAATGGGCTGGTCCAAGCATTCCATTTCATGAAACAATATGTCAAAGGCTCCGGCAACCCAAGGAAACACATAGTTCTTGATAGTTGAAATGATGTTTAACAAAGCTACATGTCAGCACTTTTATACTTGTTTACTTGGATGAGCTCTATTAATATGTTTTTAATATCTCTTTAATGGCAGAACTCTACTAACAGCTCAACAACAATGGCCTTCATTCAGCTGGTCTGAATCTGGGCCAGCCAGGGTGGGCTGCAACAAAGACACAACCATAATTTTCTTCTTAAAAAAAGGGACGAGAATAAATCATTCGATTCTAACCAGAAATGGTGGGAGAGACCTCATGGCTTGCCAGAAGACCCTCCCCAGAGCCTGAAGGAGCCCAAAAGACCACCATGCTCTCAGGATAAAAAGCAGGAAGATGGTGCCCAGGAAGATAGTGTCCTGGATTTTGGCTTCAAACTATGGGAAGGTATGCAGGAGGTCGGTGCTCAATCCTAGGATATAGGGTGGGAGGGGGCCCAAGAAGCATATTCCCACTCCACGCACCCTGGCACACTCTTGTTTGTTGTGTTTTGTTGCATTCATATCTCACCCTTCCTCCCAAAGGAGAATGCACAATGTACCTTCAAGGTAACATGTCCTATCACCTTTATGCGCATTCAGACAGCACTTTTGATGGACACGTGCGTTAGACATAATATTGCACATCTGGTTTGTGCGGTACACATCTCTTGTGCAGCTGTGTGCTGATTTGGACATTCTGGTAAGAAGTCATACGAAATACGTCGTGTTTTAGATCGAGAGCTGGCCAAGTCATTTGTATCCACAGAGGATTAGTTCAGATCGTCTATGAAGCATGCCTGCTGCTGCACATATATTATCATTTTTGTTTATATTGCTCATAGAAGAGGGGGATAATCTGCTTCTTTTGATATTTACCCACAGTCTGTACAGTTTCAAATGGATGCCAAGCAATCTGATGCTGTCGCAAGGTCAAAACAAATAAACCCCCGTCCTCTTCAAATCAAATTGGTACAGCAAATTCGATTGATGTTGTACGTCCACATTTGTTTGCCTTTTCTTCTTCTTAGGATGGTGTCTGGTGGGCAAACTGAATTTGATTTGTTCACACTGGATAGGGAGGCTGACTTAAAGGAGCCCTCTGTGGGGGGTTTTCACTCCATCACAAGAGAAATAATGTCAAAATACTGAGATAAATCGAGGTTCCCTGTAAAGTAGCAGTGTTTCCCAAACTTGGGTCTCCAGCTGTTTTTGGACTACAGCTCCCATCATCCCTGACCACTGGTCCTGCTAGCTAGCGATGATGAGACTTGTAGTCCAAGAACAGCTGGAGACCCAAGTTTGGGAAACACTTAACTAGAAGCTATGTTAGAAAAGCCTTCCCCATGCTGATGGCTTCCAGAGATTTGGGGCTACCTCAGTCACTCCAGTCATCATGGTTGTCATAGCTGGGGCTGATGAGAACTGTAGTCCAAAAGGCTGGCTTGAAAGCTGTAGCTGGTGCAAAATGCAGAGCAGCTCAATACTTAAAGGCTGGCACAGACTAATGCCGCCATATTATGCCACTGCTGAAAGAATGGCATTGGGTGCCAATTAGCTTCCCAGCTATGTTCAAGAAGTTGTTTTTGGTATACAAAGCCCTGTTCTGCTTGGCATCATCTCGCCCATTATATACTCGCCCTATTTATGCGAGGGGTTCGGAGGCAGTGCGTACATACATGAAATCACGTAAAATTGGAACATCCATTGGAAAAGCCTGCGAACACCTTCGAAACCTCTGGAAACCTCAGAAAAAAACAGCTTTAAAAACCAGCAGCTCTACTAGACGAGCCAGCATTGTTGGGCTGGCCTGCTTCAAAGGTCGCTTCAATTTGAAAACGGATCACATCGCAGATTGATTCTGCGTTATCTCATGGGGCCATCCTGGGCAGGAAGAAAGGAGGGACAGAGTGGAGCAGAAGGAGTTTTGATTAAAAATAAAATAAAATGCTATGTGCATGCATGCCAAATCTTGCCCCTTTCTAAAATTTGTTTATTGGTGTGTGCTTTTCTTTTTGTAAATCTACAGAAGAATGAAATGAAATGAAATAAGCATTAAGGACGGTGGAGGGCATGTATACTGTTCCTTGTTCGTGTAATGTTTGTGGCATTTCCTTCTTCTGATAGGAAATGCTCTGTGAGGGGTGGGAATTCGGGGGTCGAGGAAGGTCAATTGGGGGGGCGGAGTGAGAAATGCCCCAATTTTCATCTAAGGAATGTTGGGAGGTATGTGAACGGGGGTGGCAAATCCAAAAAGAAGATTTCAGAAAATGAGAACTGCAGGCTTCTCCCTCTGTAGGAGTCGAAAGGGTGAGAAGCAGCAACTGCTGATAATGGCCGGGTTCACATGTGTGACGCAGAGATTTCCCTTGGACGCTGTTCAAGACCTAGATTGGTTTGTTGGTATATCTTATCGAGGGAGTGTTATCTTGTTGGTACTGCAAACGCCAGAACTGAAGAGCTAGGCATGTCTGCAAGCCTGGAAAGTGTATGATCTCATTGCTCTCTTCAGAGGACCTCTGTAGAAATCTCCAGGGCTTCCCACGTCTATCGCACTGTGCACATTGCAATGAAAGTAACGATGAGCCACTTAGGTTCTCACACTCCCCCCACTTATTTTTTTCTATGAATAATGTTTGTTTAGGAGCCAATCTACACATTCCAGGATTGGCGGCGGCTGAAAGGAGGAGGGGGGGCACAAGCATATCACATCCTTTCTCCCTAGAGCTGTAGCACTTCACATTATGGGTGAGGAATCATAAATTTAAATACTCCGCAGGGCAAGTAGACAGTGACCACACAATGAAACAACTCTCTTGAGTGTGGGATTCCCAGCAGAAATAAAGCAGCACGCTTCTCCCAGACACGTTATCTTCTCATGTATAGGGAGATGGGCTTTTCTGGACAGAGTTTCATAGCAGTGTTGGGTTGGGAGGGACCCAACCCCTGCAACTCAGGAATCGCAGCTAAGGAATTCCTGACAGATGACCATCCAACTTTGGTTTAAAAAGCCTTTCCTCCTTACAGAGGGGAGGAGTTATGAGCGGGAGCCGTTTCCTGTGCTGGCAGGGGGTGTTTTGGCCCCTGTCCAGCTTTCCCGGCTGCCGCGTCATGCCCCCAGGTGGCCAACTAATCAGGTGGAGGCTCGGGGTCAGGGTTTTGCCACTCATATGCGGCCGCGGCAGCACTTCCTGTCCATTGCACTGCTGGTTTTCGTCGAATCGCCCACCCACCCTCCCTTTAGTTCATTGCTTGGTTCTTGACATTGCTATGGACCTGTGGTTGGTCGCCTTGGTTGTCCAAGGGGCCTGGTAGGAATTTTTATCCAGCTGGCAAATTGGCACTGGCCACTTGGTTCTTCGCCTACTTCGTAGCAAATTGTCACAACTTTTTAGGTATTGGCAGTTAGGCATTGGAATATGTTTGTGTATTGGAGGGCAGGGTGTGGCCATCGCCTACCCCTCCACTTTATGGATATTCTGGTAAAGGAATCCGGTGGTCGTGGATCCTGTCCGACGCCCTTGCTGGTAGCTAGGGCCATGGCACGACCCCCGGTGACATCAGGGGGAGCTTTCAGTTGTATTTGCATCAACAGGCTCCTCCCACTGGTGGTTAACCCTTGATAGACTCACCCCTCCCCGAGGGGTGGAGTCACGCTCTGTTGTTTTATCCAATGCCCAGGCCAATACTTCTCACATGCTGTAATCAATAAAGTTCTGGCCTTTTTTAGCCCATTAACCTAATATACCATGTCCATGTGTCTTTCTTATCCTCGAGGGGGTGGCGGGTCCTTGAATCACAAACCTTCAGCGAAAGAGAGTCCACTACTTTCTCAGGGAGCCCGTTCCACTGCTGAGCAGCTCCTACTGTCAAGAAGTTCTTTCTAATGTTTAGCAGGTATCACCTTCCTTGAAATTTGAATCCGTTGGGTCCTACTCTCTGCAACAGCAGAAAGCAAGCTTGCACCATCTTCCATGAGGCAGCCCTTTGGGTATTTGACGATGGCCTTCAGATATTTGAAAATGGACATGGACACGCTCAGTGGGTGCAGTCCTGGTCCATTAGGGTGGATATGGTACCATCTCAACAGCCTCATTCCATCCTCAAGCAGCCCTGACCCGCCTACCTTCTTTCTCACTGCCAGTCCAAAGGCTGGCAGTGCCCAGCGACCGCTTCCTCCTTAGTCTTAGGCTGGATTTCAGGGCAAAAGCTCAGAGGACTTCAGCTGACCACCCAGAAAGCAGAAGATGATGGAGCCGGACAAAAAAGTGCCAAATGGGTGTGCTGTAAGGCAAGGGGTGGGGACCTTTTTGAGCCTAAGGGCCGAATTCTCTCATGGCGAACTATCTGGGGGCCGCATATCAGTGGGGGCAAAAGTGGGCAGAGCAATGGATGCCAATGTTACCATTGTACAGCAAGCCAGTTCCGCCAGACAGTGCCAGATT